GACCATCTCTTTAACCTGCTCGTTTCTAGACGGTTATCCCTGCTGTTGTGCAATGTTTGAGCAACTCAAGATATTCATGGGAGAGTGCTGCAGAGCTGATGGATGAAGGTAATGTACCTTGACAAACCAAGCTGTCAACGCAAGCACTGATAGCGCAGATAGACTTGAGATTGGTTCTGTTTTTTGATGCTAGTGGTTCAGATTTTGTTTTTGGTTTTTTGTAACCTGCCTCATATTACTTCTGCCAAGTTATCTAGGGCTGGGCAAAACGATTATTTTTTACTAATCGATGAATCTAGCGATTGATTTTTCGATGCATCGATGAATCTAATGATTATTTTTTCAGTCCGATTCTATTTTGATTTGATTCAATTATCGATTATTTCCCCATTATTTGACTTGTATAGACGGTTTGTCTGTTGCAGAAGCTGCTCCTGGATGTGTTTGAGGTGCTGGTGCATAGCCGTTGTGCTTTTATGATAGGCCATTTCCACCTTACAAAGCCGGCAAACAACTGAATCACTTCCTGTTCTGTTAAAATATCTCCATACTGTAGAACTGTGTATTCGGGTGGAGTGATTTAAGTCAACTGCGGCTGCCTCACTCATGTTGCCGCTACTCGCTGCCGCCATGTCTGTTTTGAAAGTGACGACGCATCGATGCACATTCTTTTACGTCGACGTATTTTACGTGTCGACGTAATCGATTACGTTGACGCGTCGTCCCAGCTCTAGAGTTATCCCAGGGACTGAATCTGCAAATTCAGCAATATTTAGCAAGTAATCCACATGTTGATGAACTGTTGAAGCTCAGTCAGGGCCACCATACTCAAAAGAAGATTATTATTTCCATCTGTGGTAATTTTTATTGCTTAAAACCTCCCTGTCCTTTAGCATGCTGATGTGGATGTGGAGAGAACTCCCTCGCACTCTTGGAATCCAAGAAGCAGCCAGACGCCCTGCACAGATTATGCTAGGTGAGACTAATTAAGTAAGACTTGCATTGAAGTGGAACCATCAGCTGTTGTGCAGATCAGCTGAGCTTGAATTCATGGTCAGTCTTCATATTAATATGTAGGATTTTCATACGGGACAAAAAAAGATTTGCACTCGAGATGCTTTCAATCACTGCGTTGTTCTCATCAAGTATCGCTTGGAGGAAACTTACATAGATGTACTTCTGTTTATAGCGCAGGTACAGGTTGTGCATGATGGCGCCATCGTGAAGGTCCTCGAGGCTCGCCATGTCCTCCACCCCTCTGATGCTGCTACGGTGCATGGGTTGCACTTTCTGCCTGGTGAGCGTATTCTGCTTGTAGGTGTACACCTGGGTCAGAAAATGGAAAAAGTCCATATGTAAACTAAATGAATGATAATCACACGAATCCACATTGACGTTCTAAAAGCAGAAGATCGAAGAACTACTGCAGGAAATCTTTGAAGTAGAATTAATAAAATCAACCCTCATCTTACTCAGACTTTATTTCCCCAACTTTAGCGCCAATATATCCCCTAAGAGGCAATCATGTTAAAAAGCACAGGAAATCATTTATCCCCAAAGCAGAGCAGTTTCCTGAGATGCTGTTTTACAGCAGAATTGGTCCATGTCAACTTCCTCTTAAAGTCTGATCTGGTCACAGGTCATTTCTTCTCTGGTTTAAGGCCAGATGTGGACGTCAGGCTGCCAGTTTTCTACCACAAGTTTTACAAGTGTATTTTTAGATTTGAATTTCACTCGGTTTGGCTCTTTTATGAGAGAATG